AAAAAAATCCCCGAAACCACACAAAAGCAATAAATATGCAATAAAATAAAGTTACATAACTTTTTGCCCTTAAAGTAGCCAAACATTTTACATAAACATTATTTCAATCAATATCTAATGGAAAAGCAATAGTGTATTGAAAGTACGAAAAATATTGAAAAACAAGTTTGCGTTGACTTAATGACGAATAATTAGATGTTATCAACGATTATATAACTTTTAAAGTATTAGTGTTATTGCGAATACGTTAATAAATGATAAGGGTTTGAAAACTCCCAATACTTTGCTAGAAAAAATACCTGTGTATACATCACCCCATATAAAGGGTCTTTTATTTGAGAAAATAGTGCTTTAATTTAATAAAATAACACTCATTTACAGTACAGGATATGAGAGGACTATACGGTTGGCCACATTTTGGGCACAGTTGTGGTCCACCAGACAATGCAGAGCCGGTTATGTGATATAAAAGTGGGAATATTTGGCCGAATGAAAGCAAAACTAAACGCCAATACAAAAGTCACACCAAAAAGGGGGCAAAAAGGGGGACAAATAGTGTATCGCAGGCCTGCGATAGAGAGCACACACACAGCGGTAGTCATGACAACGAAAGCCCACACGATATATACGTAACGATATATAAGGAAAGTTCTCGACTATAATGTGATTGCATTGAAGAAGAGTTACATAAAAGTTAAGTTAAATGAACTGCTCGTCCGTCCCATTCGTCCCATTCATATACCCTTTGTTTGCATTGAATCTGTGATTCCGACTCTCAATCGCCGACAACTCTTTGGTCACCCGTTTGTCCCAATTATGGCTCACTTTTGATGGTATTGTCGGCCAACAAGTGCTGCGAAGAAGTGCTGATTCACTCATTCATTGATTCACTCAAAACATTGACGCAAAGCATTGAAAGAGCGCTTAAAACTCAAAAGTAATACACATTTCGTTATGATTTCGTCATTTCATTGATTGCCGTATTTCTTGTCATTTAATACATTTGTTTACATATTTATTGGTTATATTGTATACATTATTGACAATTCAGTGCTATTATGAACACCACGTGTGAGTCCATGCGATGACACGAAGACATGAGTGGTTACAACGCGATGAGTGGTTATTATTGAAGTGATTGTTTTGACCGAAACGTGACGTAAAGTGTGTTTCCATTGACCGAAACGATGGCCAAAAAGGGCTCTTTCGCTGACTTATTATATTTGGCACTAATTGTGAGTGTTTTGCGAACCAATAATCAAATTGAAGACAACAATGTGTTCAGTGAACAGTTGGTGGGCTCAGGAGTGGACGACTTCGGGCCCACAGCCGCTGTCAACATATATCTGCATAATTTGCGGAACTCATACTCATTAGAGACCAATATCTTCACGAATAGCGCCAAAGCGAACGTATTATATGAAGAGACGGTCGATATATTGCGTGAAGTGAACTCTTTGGGCCGCTATTCAAGTGAATCCCGTTTCCGTAATTCACCGGTGTTTGCATATCTGGTCAGTCGTGGAGAGCAAACCGATGATCACAGCCTCACCGCTGCCATCGCTTCCACCTCATCCTCAGCCCTCTCCTCACAGACTTCTCCACATTTGGACAGCGAGTTGTCCTCAAATGAATCCAACGACTCGATTGCCGGCAACTCAAGTGTCTCCTCTTCTGTGCCCACATCTCCCACTCATCCGCAAGAAGATGAAGACCAGGTATGCAGACGTGACCACTCATACATGTCCTGCAGTCTAATTGATCCCTGTTTTTACTGTTAGAGCACTTCTTTGTCGTTAAATGTGTCTGATCTGGACGTTAATGACTCGTTGGGTATGTATTGAGTGAATTAAAATCAATTTTAACTTAAGTGTGGTTTTAAATGCTATTTCTCGTAATTTCTAGTATTTTGTGTTTGAAATGAATTACAATTAAATGAATTTATTTAAATGTATGGATTGTTAATGACATTTGATGAGCGCTTTGTTGTCTGACACTTCTCGTGGTGTCTTTGTTTCGTAATGTTTGGCAAAAACATGAGTTTTTTAATATAAAAATAGATTTTATTTCATAGGGTTTTTGGGTTTTTAAATGTTTCTTCATATCTCGTTAGCGATTGTCGTTCACTGTATTTGCACTAAAAAATGCACTTTTTTTTGTAAATACTGTACACTTAAAGAGGAGTTCAATGTATACCTAAAGTCCTTGAATTTAATTATTTAAGAGAAGAGCTGTATTTAAAGAGCAAAAGAAATGGTTTTGACGACTAAATGGGATAATAATTTGAATAAAGGACTCGATATTTGCAAACAAGTTGTTGTGAAGTGTGTATCACGTGTTCACACGACTTTAATTTTCAATTACTTTCCACTCTTTTTTCACGTATTGACGACTTGTTTGTGCACTTCGTCTTTGTGTCCCATTTTCTCGGTATTTGAGTTCACAAATAGTTTACGAATTTTACAAACTATTTATGAATTTATGAATTTTTGCCGACAATTCAAACCAACAATCGATCGATATATAGATGAATGGATTTGTCGTTTAGTTAGACATTCAACTATTTTCTGAATTAAATTTATTTATATATTTTTGAATGGATTTTGTATAGAATTTGAAATTAATAACAAACATGAGTTGAAGTCAATGTAAAAGTAGATGTCATATAAATTTTCATTTCTTGTAAACATCGAATCCTATTTGCCTTCAAAACTAGATTTAGTCAATACATACGGAAAAACGTTCAATAGTTATAAATTTTATAAAATAAAATATTATTTATATTTAATAAATTATTTTCAAATGATAAACAGACCTTATTTTGTAATAAACATTGCATTGAAATTTTATATGTTTTGATAATTGTTGAATAATTTGAAAAAAGTAATTTAAATGACTATTAATTTATAAATTTTTAGAATAGTAACGAAGAGATTAATTAAAAATTTTTTAATTTAATTGAATAGTTATGAAGCATTTGCTCTATTTTTCGATTAACTATTTTTATAATGTATTTCTAATGAATGTTAAATTGAACCGATTTTCCTTATTTGCAATTTATTGATATTTAATTTGAAATTTATTAATTTGTAACCGAATCAAACATTAAAACATTTGGTCACGCTTAGTTGAGTAGCGTGAACCAACCCCTGGAGGTGAGTGTAATCGTAATAAGTATTACCATACCTGTTTTACTACGTACAAACAAGTCAATTATGTAATGCATAAAGGTTGTGCAAATTAAATTCACCATTAATTTGTATATAATTTGTATTCATTTACTCATTTAAAAAATATGGTTTATAACTTATAAATTATAAGATTGTTGCGCCCCCTCCCTCTCGCCACCCTATGGGATTTAACATGGGATGCCGGTCTATGGCTATACTTGAACATGGTAACGCTGCCATGAGATAACACGGGTAACGCTTTTTCTATGGGAAGATGCTTTTACATGTGTTTCTATTGAATTACAGCTTAAGTCTATGACATAGGGTTAACATGGGTGATGTTTTTGCTATGGCAATGCTAATCTTATGGCCATGTTAAGTCTATGGATAATGCTTTTCCTATGGGCTAATTGTAAGTCTATGGGATACTTTGAACATCACCGAATTGTGGTTAACTTATAGCATGGCGTGTGTGAGTTGTTTAATTATATATTTAGTCGTCAGTTAGTATTCAGTCAAACCTTGTTATCTAAGTGTTCAATATTTTAAATTTAAAATATTAAAACTGTATTTTCCATATTTTTTTCATTGGCTGTGTTTACGACTGATTAAACCTGAGTTTTGATTACATTCACTAGAAATTTATTAAAAATTATGATAAATATGTTATTAATTAAATCTATAGAAAGCCTATAATTTTAAGGATTGGTGTCGTTATTATGTCATCCAAATAATGTCAAAGCATTGTATTATTTATTGGTTTTTCAATCAAATTTTTATCCAAAATTATCTTCCAATGATTTGCCATTTTTTCATGTATTTTTAATTCAGTCATTGTTTTCTTAAAAAGATATGAATTTTCTTATCACAAAAGCATTTTATACAGTATTTTACTCGTTATAGTTTAAAATATAAATTAATATTTTGAATCCATAACTAACTGGGGTTTTATTACATCAGACCTCTCTCTCTCTCTCTCTCTCTCTCTCTCTCCCTATCCATCGGTGTATTGACTTTACATACGATTAAGTGAAACAAAACTCTTCGCACACAATATATTAATGTTTTCTCTCTCTCTCTCTCTCTCTCTCTCTCTCTCTCTCGTCAGAATCTTTATAATTATAATGACTTAATTAAAATGTAAATTATTTGTGGGCATTTAGCGAGGATGGAGTGTATGGAGTAGAGTATTGTGTAATTGATTGATTTTAATTGTCACATGAATTATTGGTTTACAAGAGTTTATAAAGACTATTGTATTAAAGTATACCTGACATAAATTCAATTTATATTGATTTTGGGATTCAGTGGTTATGATTGCATTAAAACAATTACTATAGGATTTGATTATAGAGCCATTGAATAAAAAAGTAAGATTTTTGAATAAAGAAAATATAAATATTATTTTTTTTATTTATTAGGTTATTGTTGTAATTAAGAATAAATTGTTTAAAAATACAAGTCATTATATTTATGACACAAATTACAATCGTATCATAAGATTTATTTTTTATTAGTTTTTTATTAAACCGATACCTAATATCTCAATAATTTCGTATATCTGTTGTTCAGATGTGTTTTGAAGGGAAATATATTTACCACGAATTCGATTGCAAACAATAAAGATATTAATTTTACGATATTTACGAGTAATTTGTGGCATAAAATTATCTAATAATGAAATTAGGAGGCGTTTGTTGTAGTAATACCGGGGTTATATTGAAAGTCATACAATTAATGTTACTTTATGCTTTACTCACTCATATTATATTAAATACAATCTTATTAGATAATAATTTAAATACTAACAATCATTTTTTGTTAATTTGGTTGATATGATGGGTCAATGTGTGTCAATAGCTTAATGGTATTATCAGTTGTAAGATATGATAACATCGCTAATAGCCTTCACATACTGTTGTATTTAATTTAATTACAAACGCCTATCATATCAACTGTCACTTGAATTGAATCCATAGTTAAGTTCATTTGATCCAAAGAATGGTTGCATTTCCAAAAGTGAATACAAGACTGTCTTCAGAATCACACAAATATTTTGATTGAATTCCTGTCACAAATAAAATCAAATGAATTAATTTAATTATTTAAAAGTTATTTCGCATTTCATAGCAATAAGTGATTGCAGTTAAGAATTTATCAAATGATTAATTAAAATAACTGATGATTTCTTTAAATACAAACATATTCTATAAATATAACGTCAGAATATATGCGAGATTTAAGTATCAGTTGTTTTGCACTTTTTTGTGAAATACTTGTACACAAAGTCAACGATCTTCTCATATCATGGATTGAATGACTTGATTGTAACTATGATTTCTAATTCTTTCTAATTCTCATATATTATAAGAATATTTTGAGCATTTATTTATTTTTATAAATGTATTTAATATTGCGTTAATATTCAATGAATGCTATTTGACAAATTTGTAAAATTTAATTTAAATTACCATGAGCATATGACAATTGCATATGCAATTGGTATAAGCATATGACAATTGCAAACTATATTCTATGTTAGGGTCAACACAGGAATCGGAATGTAAAAAACTGGCAACTGTTAAGCCTTTGATTGTATATTTACATTCATTCATTGATTAAAAGTGATATTTAATATATAATAACTAGAATTTTGAAGGAGAAATGTGAAGAGAAAACATGATTTTGATATGTTTTGAGCCTATTTTCTATATATTTGTACCCATTTTATACCACATTTGACTTTGAAGCCAATGATTACTATTAAAGTATAAGTTGTTTGTATAAACTTTGATTTACTTTTCATACAGAAAATGTTATACTGTATACAATATTTGAAGAATTATTTAACTGAAATGTTTAACTCTGAAATATTTTTGAATGTAAAGTACAATTCTTTGAATTAACTATGGTTAAATGTACTGTCAAAAAGACATTTAAAATTCATATTGAATATACTGTACAAGTTTTAGTTGTATTTCTTATGCCTATTATTTCTTTGTATATTTTGTACAGTATTTTAGTGTATCTAATGTATTGTATAACGATATAAATGTGTACAGTATTTGTCATATTATTGTTTTTTGAATAAATATTCCGTTGAAATAATGTGTGAATTAAATATAATTATACAAAATGATTAGTGAACACATTTGTTTGCCATTTACTAAGAATCTAAAGAAAACAATTTACAACGAGAAGTATACAAACACATACACCGATACAACACAAGAATTGAATGTTTAGAAAAATTTAATGTAATTTATAATATTATAAAACTATCTAATGAAGGATTAATATAATTAAAGAAAATTCTAGCGTAACATGCATTGTATATGTTTTACATTATAATGTATTATCAGTTGTTCTCTATTTGAAAATATAGTAATAATAATAATGCATTTGTATAATGAGATGCCAGAGACAGTGTTGTCTTTAGACATTAAAACAGATGTGTATTTTATGCTAAACACTGACTGACTCTTTATTAAACATTTGTTATATTTAATAGAAATTATAACCAGTATTACACTCGGACTACTATAAGACAATGTAGTTTAGCATACGTTGTTCTAAGTTAACCTGATTACTTTTCTAAAACATATTTAATATGTTATGTTAATACAGAATCAGTATCTTGGATGCAAACTTACAATCACTCGCATACAACTTATATTGTACTTGTGGTATACAGTGTACAATACAGTACAGTACAGACCACTGTCCACAATAGCTCTTATGTTTGTTTTGTTAGTTTTATTAAGTTTGAGGGTTTGTATGCCATCACATATACACATGTACTGTCCAATAATTAATAGTGAATGAAATGATGGTATTTTATATCTTAAATATGATCACAAATTAATTGTGATTTAGGATGAGATGATGAGGAAGAAACTTAATCCAAACAATTTAAATGTTGTCTAAAGCTGGGATTTTGAGATATACAAAATTTAGCGATACATTTTCTCCCATGGTAAATACAGATTTAGAATTTTATAAAATATTAGATAATCACGTGTTTTATTACAAATATGTGTTCAAATTAATGACAAAAATAAATATTTTATAATTTCGAGTGAAATTGTGTTCTCTCTCTCTATCTCTCTCTCTCTCTCTCTCTCTGAATCTTTATTATTATAATGACTTAATTAAAATGTAAATTATTTGCGGGCATTTAGCGAGGATGGAGTGTATGGAGTAGAGTATTGTGTAATTGATTAAATTGATTTTAATTGTTACATGAATTATTGGTTTACAAGAGTTGTATTATTGTATTAAATTATACCATTATACCAAATCAATTCAATTTATATTGATTTTGCGATTCAGTGGTTATGATTGCATTAAAACAATTACTATAGGATTTGATTATAGAGCCATTGAATAAAAAAAGTAAGATTTTTGAATAAAGAAAATATAAATATTATTTTTTTTTATTTATTAGGTTATTGTTGTAATTGAGAATAAATTGTTTAAAAATACAAGTCATTATATTTATGACACAAATTACAATCGTATCATAAGATTTATTTTTTTATTAGTTTTTTATTAAACCGATACCTAATATCTCAATAATTTCGTATATCTGTTGTTCAGATCCGTTTTGAAGGGAAATATATTTTACACGAATTCGATTGCAAACAATAAAGATATTAATTTTACGATATTTACGAGTAATTTGTGGCATAAAATTATCTAATAATGAAATTAGGAGGCGTTTGTTGTAGTAATACCGGGGTTATGTTGAAAGTCATACAATTAATGTTACTTTATGCTTTACTCACTCATATTATATTAAATACAATCTTACTAGATAATAATTTAAATACTAACAATCATTTTTTGTTAATTTGGTTGATATGATGGGTCAATGTGTGTCAATAGCTTAATGGTATAATCACTTGTAAGATATGATAACATCGCTGATAGCCTTCACATACTGTTGTATTTAATTTAATTACAAACGCCTATCATATCAACTGTCACTTGAATTGAATCCATAGTTGAGTTCATTTGATCCAAAGAATTATTGCATTTCCAAAAGTGAATACAAGACTGTCTTCAGAATCCCATAAATATTTTGATTGAATTCCTGTCACAAATAAAATCAAATTAATTAATTAAATTATTTAAAAGTTATTTCGCATTTCATAGCAATAAGTGATTGCAATTAAGAATTTATCAAATGATTAATTAAAATAACTGATGATTTCTTTAAATACACACATATTCTATAAATATAACGTCAGAATATATGCGAGATTTAAGTATCAGTTGTTTTGCACTTTTTGTGAAATACTTGTACACAAAGTCAACGATCTTCTCATATCATGGATTGAATGACTTGATTGTAACTATGATTTCTAATTATTTCTAATTCTCATATATTATAAGACTATTTTGAGCATTTATTTATTTTTATAAATGTATTTAATATTTCGTTAATATTCAATGAATATAAGCTATTTGACACATTTGTAAAATTTAATTTAAATTATAAGCATATGATAATTGCAAACTATATTCTATGTTAGGGTCAACACAGGAATCGGAATGTAAAAAACTGGCAACTGTTAAGCCTTTGATTGTAAAGTATATTTACATTCATTCATTCATTGATCAAAAGTGATATTTAATATATAATAACTAGAATTTTGAAGGAGAAATGTGAAGAGAAAACATGATTTGAGCCTATTTTCTATATATTTGTACCCATTTTATACCACATTTGACTTTGAAGCCAATTATTACTATTAAAGTATAAGTTGTTTGTATAAACTTTGATTTACTTTTCGTACAGAAAATGTTATACTGTATACAATATTTGAAGAATTATTTAACTGAAATGTTTAACTCTGAAATATTTGTGAATGTAAAGTACTATTCTTTGAATTAACTATGGTTAAATGTACTGTCAAAAAGACATTTAAAATTCATATTGAATATACTGTACAAGTTTTAGTTGTATTTCTTATGCCTATTATTTCTTTGTATACTTTGTACAGTATTTTAGTGTATCTAATGTATTGTATAACGATATAAATGTGTACAGTATTTGTCATATTATTGTTTTTTGAATAAATATTCCGTTGAAATAATGTGTGAATTAAATATAATTACACAAAATGATTAGTGAACACATTTGTTTGCCATTTACTAAGAATCTAAAGAAAACAATTTACAACGAGAAGTATAGCCAAACACATACACCGATACAACACTCATATAATACAACACAAGAATTGAATGGTTTAGAAAAATTTAATGTAATTTATAATATTATAAAACTATCTAATGAAGGATTAATATAATTAAAGAAAATTCTAGCATAACATGCATTGTATATGTTTTACATTATAATGTATTATCAGTTGTTCGCTATTTGAAAATCTAGTAATAATAATAATGCATTTGTATAATGAGATGCCAGAGACAGTGTTGTCTTTAGACATTAAAACAGATGTGTATTTTATGCTAAACACTGACTGACTCTTTATTAAACATTTGTTATATTTAATAGAAATTATAACCAGTATTACACTCGGACTACAATAAGACAACGTGAACAATGCATACGTTGTTCTAAGTTAACCTGATAACTTTTCTACAACATATTTAATATGTTATGTTAATACAGAATCAGTATCTTGGAATACTTACAATCACTCGCATACAACTTGTATTGTATACAGTATACAGTGTACTAAAGTACAGTACAGACCACTGCCCAGAATAGCTCTTATGTTTATTTTGTTAGTTTTATTAAGTTTGAGGGTTTGTATGCCATCACGTATACTGTACAATAATTAATTGTGAATGAAATAATGGTATTTCATATCTTAAATATGATCACAAATTAATTGTGATTTAGGATAAGATGATAACGAAGAAACTTAATTCAAACAATTTAAATGTTGTAAAAGCTGTCATTTTGAGTTATACAACATTTAGCGATATTAAAAGAGGGTACCATTTATGTCTAAATCTTAAAATATTTTATAATCTATTAGTGCACAAAATAATGTTTATACACAAGTTTAATTACTGTTTTTATTTATAAAATATTAAAGCTCACTTTAACACATTATATCAACTTATTATTATTATGCCTAAAACAAGTAAAATGAAATCATTTATCTGTATTATTATATTTTTTAAGAATATTTAATATTTGCCAATAATTTAAACTCCAAACTAACAAGAATAAACTAGAGTTGTAAAATTTGTATGGAGAAATAAACTAGAATTTCTAAATATGGATAAACAGAACATTATTTATCATACATGTTAAATGATAAAAGTTATAAGAATCATATGAATATTTTTAAACCAACGAGCACTTAGAACTTGTTACAGTGTTATACTTTTTAAATGTAGGAACATCTTTCTACAATGTTAGAAGAATGTCGAATTTCTCGAAAATGGCTGAATGAATATTGTCAAACTTTGCTATCATAGACTTCGATACATTCTCTGCCGAATAGCATACCCGCCCCTACGACCCCCCTTTAGTGAGACTGGAACCATGATCTCGAGTGTGTCCCAAAATTGTTATTAATTAGTCACGTGCATTTTTTATAATAATTTTTTTAATAAAAAAAACTAGACATATGGAGTTATATTTTACAGATTTGATCTAGCTCAATTTACCAATAAATATAAAATTAATATTAATTTTTACACAAATAAGATCTAAAATATAAGTTAGTTTTGATTTTGTTTTGTTAAAATGTTGTCTTTCTATATTAGTTTCTAAAATATTTTATCATAAAATAATAGCATAAATAATAGAATTCTAAAAGAATATAAACTACATAACTTAATTATATGAAACATTTGTAACTATCGGAATAATTTAATTAAACCAAACCTTCACTTAAAACATAAATTTCTTTTTTGTGATACAATTTGTCATTTGTCTCAAAATACAATTCGTTAAAATCTCAAACACTTTTTATACGGTCTTTAGGTTTGAAAAAAATTATATCGGAAACGATTCACTGATCTATTGATTGAATCATTAATTTCAAACTCTCGGCAAATAAATCCAAACTTTAACTCAAATTGATTTAAGAAAAAAATAGTTACCAATTTATCTTTCAAATACTATATGGTGTTTATGATACCTTATTGTATGTCTTTTGTGTTAACACTGATATAACAATATTTCATATATAGACCCAGAAGTGATATTCTTATATGAACTACAATTCTGTGTACAATTAAAATGTAATTTTTCGGTCATTTCGGTCATAAGCCTGTGTTTCTGAGTAAAACTGCAGACAAACTGTCATTTTTACAGATATTATACCATTGAATGGCTCATCATTTTTTAGTAGCGATAATTGTGTTCATACAATACTGTACAGTATATACAGTACCTGTAGTAATACATAGTGTACTTCTTTATGAATAGTTAATTGCCGGTCCGAGTGATGAGTCGGCGGTTTACCTGTCAGTGCGGGTGTCGTCGGTGTACTCGATGTCGTCAAGACGTCGGACTCATGTAATTAAAAGTGCCGTTCATTTGCTGACGCGTGCAAACAATTGCATGTTTTTTGCACACAAATGGTTTGCTTACATTTGGGCCATAATTCACAGCCAATTCTCTATCAATTCATATACAGATCTGCTTTTGGTTTGAACTCTATCTAAACCTATAACTAAATTGAATTAATATACAAATAAAAAGCTAGAAATGGATGACTTATTATATGATATGTAGATTTGATGTATCAAATGAAGAGTCACAATGAGATAGCATTGCAATCCATACTTAAACACGTATTCAATTGCTAACAAAAGACATATATTTCTAAAACCAAAATAGTTAACGAAGTATTGAAAAGCGATTGTATTTATGGCGAATCCGATGATCACGAAGACGACGACGGCTTCGTTGAGAACAATCTTCTCAGCGATTTGGACGACGCCTTCATCAACGATGGCTTCGCCACCGGAGGGAATGTATCATGTGATCAAATGCTGCCTCTCTTGGATCCCATCGACGACGACGTGAACTCATTGTTTGATGAACTCGAGAGACTATTAGCTCCCGAAGAATCAGACATTTTGCAGACCATTAATACGGTATAGTTTTTCATTTAAATTAGATTTTTTGCGATCAATACAATTGGGTTTAAAGCCAATGAATAAAGAGTTAAAGACATCAATAGATTGGTTTGCATTCATAATTCAATTGTCTTTATGTCGTACTGTTTCCTGTCATATATATCTGCAAACATATTGTTTGTCTAATAGTTAAGCACTTATACGCATAGGAATCGATTATTAGGCCGTTTAGGCTCTGCTTCCAAATCACTTCAAACCAAACGCATAATTGAATGTAAAATTTGCCGCTTTTTCTTAAGTTTGCGAATAAGACATGATATCTGAGAGTTTGCCTCGAAATTAGTGCTGTCTTAATGTCGATATCGCTTACAAAATATTGAAATTATTCGCAATTTATTATCTCTTTAGGGGAAGGGAGGCATAAGGAGAGAGTCGAGTGAGCGGGAGGTAGAGAGAGAGAGAGAGAGAGGACGGGAGGGAGAGAAGTGTTGTCCGGAGTGAGGAGTGGAGTGTTGTCTGCTTTGGAGCCTCTGTGCGACAAATCGACGAGTTTTGAACATATTATTCATTATTCTTATGGTTTTGTAAAGCATTGTTATTACTTACTGTCCTTCGTATGTCTGCCATGACTGGCCTCAAAGCATATGATTTGTGTGACTAGTGTTGGCTCCGTCTCGACTCTAATAGAGTTAACTTAATTATGCAAATCTATCACTCAATACTAGTGTTGGCCATCACTTGTTCACTGATATCAATAATAGATAATGAAGTGAAATATGATTGAAATAATTGTGTTTACAATTATGAGCGCATCTTCTCTTAGGTTTCATTCATTCTCTTTCTCTATATATTACGGTTTATATGTTGTAATGCGGTTTAATATATGCTTATTTGTAAATGAATTATTTTATTGTTCTCAATTGATTATTGTGTTCACTATTGGCCCAAAATATTAATTGATTATTACTTTTAATTTATTTGTGTCCAAATCGCATATAAATGTCTGTCCAACCGATGTCTGGCCACCCGTACGGCAGCACATATTAGACAATGTTTTATACAAACTTATAAAAAGCTTATTTGACGCGGTTGTTCACCCGATAAATTAAACACATTTATAATGTAAATTGTATGAGTGGGCATGAATGACCACTATTGATAAAAATGTGCCGCGTCCTTGATTGTAGCCGTGGTGGTCACCCGATGTTTGGTTACTTGTCGGCAGTGTTAAAACTCGTTCGGGACTCCGATGCCAAACATGTTGGCTGAGGATATGTTCATAGGGTAGGGATGCCGTAAATAGACTATTGAGAGTCACTTAGATATGTTTAGGAACGGCTAGAAATTAAATTAACGGTGTTTTTACATTATTTCAACGCTAAAAAATTCCCTAAAAACGTAATTTTAAAAATAAAAACCCAATTAAAGTTTAATAAGAAGGGATATAAAATTTATACCCACACTGCCATCAACCCTGATATACCCCCTACTGATTACCACAGATACCCATCATTTCTAAAGTGTGTGAGAAAAATGGTGTTAAAAATGGCAGATGTCATCAAATCGGGGGTGTCTTTCGATTTTGGTCTTAAAATTTAGTTTAATCTTCAATTAAAAAATTGATAAATTGGTGACACAATAGTAGATAGTAGATGATTACTTTCGTGAATAGGCCGATGGTCGAAGTTCATTATCTTAAGAATTAAATAGACCTTAATATTATCATTTACAACCCGCATTACAACATATAAACCGTAATACAACAATTTAAACAGTTTGTTTGTCAAAAAACATTCCGTTATATTGAATTTCCCTTTGTATCGCAGTTTTCTATATCGAGGACAGACTGTATTATATCATTTGTGGCATTACCTGCGAGCGGTTGCGACCAATTGTGCGAACGGCTGTTCCCAGGCGTACATCTTTATGACACGCATTCCGGCGATAATCTCTTGCATTAAACGGATTCGACTGTCGGTTAATTCGGCCGTCTTTTGGCGTATTCTCCCAAACATATGACCCATGAGTGCCTGAAATGGTATAAACAGCACCATTACTGTCATACCGGCCAAACACGCCCACCGAAGGTATGGCCACAACAGGAGTAACACAATCGCCGCCTGCAGTGGAGCCACAAATAATGATTGCGATCTCAATGCAAACTATTTTCTCAAAATCATAACACCAAGATTAAATGCTTAATTTTAATTATCAATATTTAATTAAAAACCTAATACCTCATCAAATCTGTGGACATCGTTAGACATGATGTTTAATATCTGGCCAACGGTTGTCTGTCCAAGTGTTGAGTGATTTAGACGCATTGACTTTATTATGTAATTAACAATTAACAGATGAATGTTATAAAACAATATACTTTTATTTGTAAAGAGTAGTGTTGTTAATTAGAAAATATTTAACTAAATATTACAAAAACAGCTATCACAGGCCACGAGTAGGGTGACCAGAAATTATTAGCAAATACGATGACATTTACTAAAATTTTAGTAGCCAACGGAGAAAGTCCGGAAAACATAATGTGTTTTTTGTTATAAATGCTAATTTTATGTTTTGTTTTATCTATTATGATTCATGTGTAAACGTGACACGATTACCAACACTTGTACAGACCTTACGATAGATAAGGGCACAACAGGCGACACGGATTCTAACCCCCACTTTGGTTTTATAAGTATTATTAAAATGTTGGATAAACATGATTCCAATGGCTGCCAACACAATACCCACAGCTGCCCACTGCGCCCACCACTGGCTAATGTTGGGGTCATTGTTGAAATACCTCACTAAATAAGTGATACAATACGCCTGAAACAGAGTCAGCCCCAATTCCTAATGATTAAAGGTACACAATTAATAATAATTGATTGAAAAGTAATTACTTTATTCAGTATATTAAAAAATAATTATTCATTTAATTATTACCCTGATCGCATCTGGAATATAACATAAAATAAGTTCGGGTCCGAACGATGCAATTAGTGCCCAAAATAGCGATGGCTTTCCTTTACTTTTGAGTTGTTTATTCCATTTGCTATAGAATTGATGTAAAACTTTATACCGTAATTTTAATATTTTGATAATAAAATAAAATGTTCATGTTACATTTCTAACTTATGTCGGACAAGATGTGCCTCGTCTGATTTTGGGCACCGGTAGACATCACTAAAATTAAGGTCCCTTTTGTGCGCCCGAATGAATAGACTCCACACCCAACTAATTGAAATAATTAATATTAATTAATAAACATATATTACAGTTTAATATTAATTCATTGCATTTAATGTAATAATAATAATAAAATTAATTATCTGTAAATATTATTCTTTTATAAATCACCTGAATGTAAGTTTTGAGAATATGTTGATGCGATCCCATGGACTCGGAATGGTAATCAATCCCTCACTTACTTCCATAGTATAATATCTTTAACAATAATTCACATTAAAATTTTTTATTATAAAATAGTTAATGAATTTATATGATATCAAATTTATAAATTGTATACAGTAATTATATATTTATGTACAGATGTTTTCTCATGCGATTTTATTGCTAATCAATGGTTAATATTTATATAATTAATATCATAGTTGTTATAGACTAAAAGCATAATGTTTGTATAAATAATGCATTGACCAAGCTGGAGTACAATTATTTAAACAAAAAACAATCAATTAATTAGGGCGTAAAATATAGTAACTAGAGTTACATCTTATATGGCAATATAAAGTTAGCCATACATATTGTATTCCATAACAATTAGTATAGAATAAATTAGTATTCACTATAACTAGTATTGTAATTAAATAAGTAATGTAGTATTGTAATAAGAAATTCACACAAGTACCAATAAGTTTAAAATAGAATAACTGTACATGTAAGTTTATGCATACGTTAGCGATTCTACGGGTTAACCACAATATGAGTGATGCTCAAAGAATCCCATAGACTTAACATTGTGCATAGTAATAGCATTACTGATTATGGCTTGCAGATGATCGGGTATTTTATATACATTTTTATATAATTATATTATTTATTTTAGTTTTAAAGATATTGAATAATATTATATACATATTATGTAGTATTGAGTATCCAAATGACTATCATTATTTGACCGACATATTACAACTTCTTATTGATATAGTTTTTGTTCAATATTTTTTGTTGTTGTGTAAGATTATGATTGTTTTAATAATTATTACTTATAATATATTACAATTCATAATTTATAGCTAGTTTGATAACATAGTTGTTATGACTTTATTGTAAGTCTTTCTATAAAATAGACATTAAAACTATGGATACTATCAGTGCATATTTCTTGAAGTTTTAACTAATTATTATATTATTAGCATTAATAGTGCAGATAAAGCGTTATTTATTACATGGGATACAAACGTAAACAGTTCGTAAACTAACATAGAGTTAATTAATGTTATGTTAATAATTTATGTTAAATAATATTGATAACCAAATGGGTAAACATGTAATAAACAAGTGTCTGAGTCGCTACGTTCATAAATATTAATAATACACACATACGTGCGATATTGTAATACAGTTGTGACCAGCAAACAATATAACCAGTGCCTTAGCCCTACGGGTACCACACTTTACTCGGACTAACCTCATATAGAATGAAACCGAACGCCAATTCTTATATTTTATTGAAAAATTGTTCAAACAATTACAGCATCAAAGCCAGTAATGCCCACAAGCGATACCCCGGTGCGCCCATACAGGTGCTCAAAGTGAGTGATGAGCGCCGCTTTGAACTGGATTTAGATGCACTCGAGTCCATACTATTGCGCGACACTATCCGTGACAAACCCGTTGTGGTGGTCAGTATTGCCGGTGATTTTCGTAAAGGTCAGTTTGAAATTGTTATCATATTATAAAAAGTTAATTGTAAAGTCATTATATAAATTGTTTACAACTATGTTGGTTACAGCGTTTGACTTGCAAATAAGTCTAGACAACCCAGGTGCAAAGGTGTCTATAATTTTACACACAGACCAACAGAATTATACATTTATTATTATTACTTGTTAATGCTTGAATCACTTTTAACTTGAGCCATTAGCTAATTATTTGTATCCAACTGAACCGACCCGTTCGGGCACCCATAGGCAAGTCCTTTATGCTGAACTTTTTCCTGCGATACCTGCAGTCGGGTTGCGGTACAACCGACGACTGGCTCGGCTCCACAGACACCTCTCTGAAAGGGTTTGCGTGGAGGGGCGGCGCAAAACTTGTCACCACAGGTATACTGATGTGGTCGGAGCCGTTTGTCATCAAACTGGATGAGGGCCAGGAGGTGGCCATCGTTTTAATGGACACTCAGGGGGCGTTTGACTCGGAGTACACCGTCCGGGACTCGGCCACTGTGTTCGCGCTCTCCACTATGACCTCATCAATACAAGGCATGTATGGATGTGTAAATAAACAGCTTTTGGTCACTTTAGAACCGCTATTTTTATTTTGTTTAGTTGACGCAATTATAATTGTCTAGTTAAATTGCAAACTTATAATATCATAATAATCTTTATCCCGTATATATACAGTGTTTAATCTGATGCACAATCTCCAGGAGGACAATCTCCAGGTGTTGCAGTTTTTCGCAGAGTACGGCCGACTGGCGCTCGAGGCCACCGGCGATATACCCTTCCAGAAACTAATGTTTCTCATACGTGACTGGAGTTTCCCATACGAACATCCGTACGGTTTGACCGGCGGTCAAAATCTATTGGATGAAAAGTTAGATATCAAGATGAATCAAGCGACACAATTGCAACGCGTCCGCCGCCATATCCGCTCGTGTTTTAGCGATATTGGCTGCTATTTAATGCCACATCCGGGCGGCAAAGTGGCCACTAGTGAGAGTTTTGACGGCCGAGTGGCCGATATTGACTCGGCGTTTGTCAAGTATCTGAAGACGTTTGTGCCGCTGATGTTAGACCCGAAGAATGTGGTCGTGAAGGAGATCGGCGGCCATCAGGTCACTGGAAGACAGTTGATGGAGTAGTTCAAAGTTTATTTTAATGTTTTAACAGGTACTCTCTCTCTCTCTTAAAAGCTTCATAGGATTAGCATTATTCATGTTGTCTATGTCATAGGTTTAAGCTGTAATCCCATGTTAAATTTCATAGAACGGGGGGAGGAGGAGGGGGGCCGAACCATCTTATAAACCACATTATTCATACTGAATTGTGGTTAAAAACCTTTTGATTGGAAAGATTTTTGTCTCAAAACAGCTTGGGTTTTATATAGAATATGTGTGATTATTAGTGTTAGACACTTTTGAAAAAATTCTTATTTTCCCAATATTTTCCCTCTCAAAAATTGGGAATTTCCCGGAAGATATAAAAGGTGTGGGAACTAACTTTTTGAAGGAGAATATTTTTAACCACAATTCAGATATGAATAAAGTGGTTTCTAGGATCGTTCGGCTACCCCCTCTCCCTGACCCCCCGTTCTATGAAATTTAACATGGGATTACAGCTTAAACCTATGACATAGACAACATGAATAATGCTAATCCTATGAAGCTTTTCCCATACTTAACATGGGTTAATGTAATCATATGGGTAATGTAAATCCTATGGGCAATGATAATATTACGGTTTATATGTTGTAATGCGGGTTGTAAGTGATAATATTAAGGTCTATTTAATTCTTAAGATAATGAACTTCGACCATCGGCCTATTCACTAAAGTAATAATCTACTATCTACTATTATGT